ACATTAGTATTACCTCGTCTCTCTTATTTTTTCTACAGAACATAGATTGAAGCCTGTTTATCATCCTATGAACATAATTTTAAATAACTCCTTACCTTTTCTTGGATGACGCCAGGGCTTTGTTATTTCAGATTTTGAGGGTATTGATAGGATCACCTCCCCACCTCATGCAAACATCACTTATTCAATTGAAGCCGGAGTTTCTGCTGGCATTGACATGGTAATTTAGTCCAAAAGTAGCTGAATCGATGTAATATAATTCCACTAAGGGCACATTTAATATTGTTACACACTTTGCTTGGTTTTGCAGTTCATGGTTCCAAAGCTTTACGTAGAATTCATAGATGATCTAACCATGTTGGTGAAAAAGAAGTACATTCCCATGAGTCGAATTGATGACGCAGTGAGAAGAATTTTGTGGGTTAAATTCATGATGGGTATTTTTGAGAACCCTTTTGCTGATTACAGTTTGGTCAGATATTTGGGAATCCAGGTTAGCTATTTTGTTTTCCTCAAGTATTTCCTTTAAATTCCCTAAGTTCACAAATAGATATAGGAATCACCTTGTAACTCTTCAATGTTTACCAAAATTCTTAACAGGAGCACAGAAATTTGGCTAGGGAAGCAGTAAGAAAATCAATGGTCCTTCTAAAAAATGGTGAATCTGCTGACAAGCCTTTATTGCCTCTTCCAAAAAAGGTTCCAAAAATACTTGTGGCTGGAAGCCATGCAGATAATCTAGGATATCAGTGTGGTGGCTGGACCATAGAATGGCAAGGAGTCAGTGGGAACAATCTTCTCAAAGGTAAAGATATATAAAATTATATATTATTCTTTTTAATCATATCTCTATAATTATCAATTGTATATTGCAACTCTTGTTTCTGATTGTTCTTGTGAACCTTTGTATGACCAGGGACTACAATTCTCAGTGCTGTGAAAAACACTGTTGATCCTGAAACCACAGTTGTCTACAAGGAGAACCCTGATGTAGAATTTGTTAAATCAAATGGATTTTCCTATGCCATAGTTGTAGTAGGAGAGCATCCTTATGCTGAAATGCATGGTGACAACATGAACTTGACAATCCCAGACCATGGTCCTGAGACCATAAAAAATGTGTGTGGAGCAATAGAATGTGTGGTCATCATTGTTTCTGGTCGTCCTGTAGTTATTGAACCATATGTTGGTTTAATAGATGCACTTGTTGCTGCTTGGCTCCCAGGTAGTGAAGGCCAAGGTGTAGCTGATGTTTTATATGGTGATTTTGGTTTCACAGGAAAGCTTCCAAGGACATGGTTCAAAACTGTTGATCAACTTCCAATGAATTTTGGAGATCCTCACTATGATCCCCTGTTTCCATATGGGTTTGGCCTTTCTACCAAACCTACAACTAAGGGCTTTTACTCCTCATAGTTATCAGCTTCATCTGTGTATACTATAATTTAATAAAAAAAAATATTATTTGTAATAAGTTGTTTATTTTTATAATAAAAAAGTGAAAAGTTATATTCATAGTGATATTTATTAGTTGACACTGTAAAATTATTTTAATTGTTAGTATGTTATCATTAAATTTATAATTTAATATTTTTGATATTAGAGGTTAAATTTCTTTCATGAATTTTTATTATTGATAAATAAAATTTTAAATCAAATTATATATTATTTAATTTTAATTAATTATTAAGTGAATAATAATATTTGAGTATCATTACATCATTAATTCTTTATCTAATAATTATGAAAGTATCATTTCTCATATAGCATTTTATGTATAGAGAATTTATTATGTTTGTGGTTGACTGGTAAGTAAGTTAAACTAAAATGTAAAGTGAAATACTTTTGGGATCATGAAAAGTAAAAAAATCAATTGTATTGCTTTCTGTCAAAAGTCAGAACCGAACGTGGCATCTGTCAACACATTCTCACTCTCTATATAAAAAATAACTACTTCTATTAATTTATAAATTACTTAATATGAAAGTCTCAAATTTCAATATTTTTTTCTCTGCTACAATTATCTTCTCACTCAGCCCTTCAATATCAAATATATTATGACACAAAATACTTTTTTTTCCAACTAGAATAATTTAGATCTAAAGATGTAAAAAAAAGTGTATATGAAAATATATATTTGTAAAATCTACCAATATTAATTATTTTTAGATTTAATTAATTTAATTAAAATGTGATTTTTTTAATTTGATAAAATATAATAATTATTAATTTTTTAAAAAAATATACACTCTTGATAAGAAAAAATGAGTATTAATTAAAAGAGATAAATAATATAAAACATGTATTATAATCAATTAAAAGATATATAAATATTAATAAGAAAAAATAAATATTATTAGAATAATTATATATATATATAACAAATTTATTATAATAAACTAAATTAACTATTTTTTAATTTAAATAAATTAAGTAATTTGATGTTATACATGAATATGGAGGAAGTAGTATTGTATTATCTCTCTTTTTATTGTTTTTAAATACACTAAGTCACACAGTAATAATTTTTTTTAAATACTAATATATAAATAAACTAATATTTTCCACTGACGTGTACATCCCTAGAGTGTGCGTACACATACTTTGGCTTGTGCCAGGTAAGACAGTAAGAACATCGATAACGTAGGTTGTTTATAAGTAACTCACTATCACACATAAACTATTTTCCTCTCTTTTTCTTAAATAATGAAACTTTTACAAATAATTTTATTAAAATTTAAGTAACTCATTTTAACATGTAAATAATGAAAAGAATTAATGTGACAAGTAAATTACTTATAAGCAACCCGTGCTCTAATCCCAAGCGTGTAGTTCAGCGGTAGGGGTTGATCCACGCTTAAGCAAGGTCAGGGGTTCGAATCCTGCCTTGTGTATGCAGCCGCGTTAACCTCCAACGTAGCGAGGAGATTTCGGCCCTGGATACTCCAGGGACGAACCAAAAAAAAAAAGCAACCCGTGCTCTAAATACTCTAAGAGACTCTTGGATTTTAATGGATAAGATTAAGAGTCAATAAAATCATTAAATCTACCATGGGCTTTCAATACATCCATTTATAATATCAATTTCTATTTACAGCAAACTTTATCTACAAATATTTACAAATAGGAATTCTTTTACATCCCTAACCACCCTACTCCACACTCTTCTTTTCAATTTTAATCCCAAAATGCTGCCAACTCAAATTTCTTTTTTAATTTATAGAATTGATTTATTTCTTTTATATGGGTTTGTGTTCTTTTGTTTGCTCTGATTTCTCTCTCAGAAATTATAAACTATAGTTTCACTTTATTCGGATTTCTTTTATTATATAGTTTCAATTTATTCTGCTTTCTTTTCTTACCGTTCTTCTTGTAAGTAAATTGGGTTCAATTTAAAGGAAAAATTATACTAATACTAAGATTTTGCATAAATGTTTTCTTTTAATGATAAGTGATCGGAAAAATTACACTTTTCTAGTTTTAAACTTTAAAGTGAGCTATGAGTGGTATATTTCGCTTTTCTTTTCTATATCCATTTTTTTTAATCTCTTTGGGCAAAGGATCGAAGACATTGTGTTATATAGATAAAGGAATTTTCCATTCCCAGGATTTGAATTTTGAAGCTGTAAATTTGTTCCTACAAAAGGATAATTATGTACCAGAAAAACAAAAGTAACAACATCAGGGTTAATGAAATCTCCGTGCCCGTGCGAGTTTGTATGCATATATGGCATGCAGTCAACATTGTATAATTAAATATGATCAATTAGAGGGTGAATGGTACCGGAAAAAATTCAAGTCTCGTATTGACTAAAGATTAAATAATTAAATAATATATAAGTAGAAAATAATCTTCACTTTATAATCTAATTTTGTAAGATTAAGTTAGACTTAAATCCATTATCTTAGTATTAAAGTTATCTTAAATTCTTAAAAATGAGTTGATATATGTATCATGAATATGAGAGGGTATATATTAAAAAAAAAACTCAAGTCCAGTCATATCCACGTACCAAGTCCAATAATGTTAAACCATGAACATGGGTTAATTTTTATCGATTAATAATATAAAAGATTTCACACTTATAATGGATAAATAAAAAACAAATAATTATATATTGAAGACTCTTTTCTCTTTCTCTCTCACACACATATATATTAAATTATGTTAGAAATGAAAAATAAAAATAAGATTTTGTTACTTTTAATTTTATACAAAAATTTTAGATTAAGAATAAAATAATTTATAATGAATTAAAAATAATTACTTAATGAATTTCTGGCTGTGATTATTGGGAGTATTGGTTAGGGCTAGGAGGTGGTAGAGAACATTTAGAAATGGGTGATACGAAGAGAGTTTAATCCAACAAAATTACCAATTATGAAAATTACGTAATGAATTTCTGTATCTCTGTGCTGCCATCTTTGGACGCTGAAACATCCTCAACAGACCAAGCACTCCTCATTTGACATTCTCAGATGTTGAAACATCCTTGTTTGTATATCTAGGTGCTCATCATTTGCCATACTTCATGTCCAACCATCCTTGTTCATCCCATTCAGCATCCCAGGATGCCGAAACATCCTGGTCTTTATGTTCAGGTATGCCTGTTTGGTACCTTGTCTATGTTGCTGAACGAAGTGAATGACTTTCCATTTTGTATAAAGATAATTAAAATGATTAAACTCTAATCATAGTATAAAACAAATTAATTGTCAATGTATTAACTAATCGGTAATCTTAGATTAGGTTTATTGAAATTTGGTACATTACAATTGATATAAATAATATCATATATTAAAATAAAGTTGTTAGTTCCAATATATTTACATTTATTATTTCAAATAAAATATTTACTTGAACGTGAGAATGTTTTTTTTTAAAGTATATTCTCTCGATATAGCTAGACAATTGGTTTAGAGAATAAAGAGCAGAGTCAATATTAAAAATAAAAAATAGAAAGTATCTTAATATAAAGTACAAGAAAAAACTAGATAAAAATATATAGACCAAAATAGAAAAGTAAAAATTTATAAAGACTAGAATTTGAGAGGATCAAAATAAAAAGAACTAAAATTAATAATGTTAAAACAAAAATAACTAAAATTAAGATGATTATAGAAAAAAAAAATATCTTTATTATATAGGAAAAAAACGTTTATTTATACCAAATTTATAAATTTTAACTATTTAAACATAGTATATACACAGTATGAAGTAATTAAAAATAAATAAACCGATAATAAATGTATTAATCAATAATTTTTTTACGAAATTAGACGCACAACTTCATAAAAGTTATGACGTAGTCACCCTCACAATATAAAAAAAGTAAATATAATAAATGAATGGAAAACTAAATATAAGATAAAGTAGATAAAATAAAACAAACTATAACATATGAACATGTAATAATAAAGGAGTCAGAGAAAGAACACATACCATTACACTAACACTCTTACTATAATATTTTTTTAATAATCAAAATCACACTATTACAATAATAGAGATAAAAAAGCTATTAAGCCAAAAGTTATTTAAAACTATATTTAATCTAAAAATAACTGAGTTGTTTCAATGATTCACGTCTAAGCCTACTTGATAGGGATCGAAACACACCTTATATCATTAATCCATGACTAATAATTGAAAAGTAGAAATTAGAAGATCTTGGAGTATCCAAAGTCAACAGTAACAGTTCTCTATAAATATAGTTTTTGTTGGCCGGCCTTTTGTGTTATTATTATTGTAAGTGTTTATTGAAAGGAGTGTCAGTTGTGTGTTTGAATATACAGGTGACAGATCCTGGCATTCATGCATCAGCACCCTTTTCTTTTCGTTTTTACTTTTATATTTTTTATATCTTTTTTTTATTATTTATGTTCCCATGCCATGTGGAGTATCTGTTCAACAATTTCTTCATCTATGAAACGATCTTTTTATATTCCATTCTTACTCAGTGCTTGTGATGCTTATGCAGTGATATCTGAGGCAAGTTCCACATATATAAACCCAAGGTATGATACAGCTTAAATATGTTTTATGATGTTTCTGCTAGCTTTGGCTGTTTTAAATGTATTTGATTGCTTGTTAAGTAAATCTCTGATTGTGTGTCTCAAAGTTATGCACTGCTAGCATTGTACCACGTAGTTGAGATTGTGTGTTCTTCATTACAAAAGGGTTAATTTGATGCATCTGAGTTATCTACAATATGGACCTAGATTTTAGACATTGAGATTTGATTATCCTATTGAATTTGTTTCAGCACTCACGATGTATCTGGAGGCAATGGCTAAAATTTCTATCTTCTTGTTGGGGATGTGGCTACTAGTTTACTGGGCAGGGTTGTTGGATGCAGAACGCATGAACATGAAGTACAAAGACCCTAAACGGTCAATTGATAGTAGGGTTGAGGATCTTATTAGCCGAATGACTCTTGAGGAGAAAATTGGCCAAATGTTGCAGATTGAGCGCAAGTATGCATCTGCTGATTTGGTTAAGAAATATTTTATTGGTAA